GATCACACTGAGATAATAATAATAATAATAATAATAATAATAATAATAATAATGTCATGTAGCCTAGGCCACTGTGTGTGGATTTTTCATACCATGGAGTCATGATTCATTTTAATAACATCCTTGCAAGAGCATCTGTGTTCCTTGTGAAGGTTCTGACAAAAGGACTTTACTGTTTGTGTGGTTTTTCTTTTTAAACTGTCGCAGGAAAATGACGTCCCTTTCATTAGCTAATGCTTTGCTTAAAGCAAGAAGGGTTGGTAGCCGTAGCTTTTATCAGGCTAATGGAAATATAATGTCTTCTCCAGTTTAACAACCTGGGAGTTGGTTGTTTTGAAATAAACATATTATGCATTCAAGTAATTTTGCCTAACCGAAGTGCCGTAATATATGTTACAGCAACAGAACTGTTTCCCTGTGTGAAGTACAGGGCATGGTAGCACGAATCGTAAAAGATGCTGTAGTGGCAACTTGAATTTCTTGTTTTGTTTGCCTTCACCTCAGCTTCTTTCTATTTGGTCCTTCTTAGCAACCATAATGGCATCTTTTATGAAGGTGCGATTTGAGTAGCGTGAGTGGATTTCTCCTTGCCTCTCCTCCCTGCTACAGGCTCCCTCCATGCCCCGAATAATCTGCTCAGGGCCACCCCCCATGTGTGTGTGGGGGGGGACTTCAAGGAGACGAAAGGAAGGTGAAGTCCCAGTACACAACCAGAAGTCAGTTCCAGTTGCACATGGACATCGTAGAATACAACCCTGTATGCTATGGCGAGTTAGAGCAGAATGTCACAGTTGTACACTAGCCACAGAGAGCACACATTATAATACAGTGGTACCTCAGGTTAAGTACTTAATTCGTTCCAGAGGTCTGTACTTAACCTGAAACTGTTCTTAACCTGAAGCACCACTTTAGCTAATGGAGCCTCCTGCTGCTGCTGCGCCACCAGAGCACGATTTCTGTTCTTATCCTGAAGCAAAGTTCTTAACCTGAAGCACTATTTCTGGGTTAGCGGAGTGTGTAACCTGAAGCGTATGTAACCTGAAGCATATGTAACCCGAGGTACCACTGTATGTTTGAGAGCCCTTAACCAGGGTTAAAGTAGTTAACTCTGCTTACAAGATGACACACAAATATTGTTCGGAGTTAGCCACACTTTTGCCCTGGGCTTTCTGGGTCCACACTTTAAAGCTCTGTATCCGACTGCTCTCCGCCCCCCCCCCCCCCGTGGTTCTTTCCTCTTGAAAACTCGCTCTTTAAAGTGCAACAGACGGCAATTGCGGATTGCCGCTTGCCCCGACGCAGCGCCAAAGAGCAGGTTTTCACAGGGAAAGCTCCGGAATGAAAAGCCGAGCGCTCGGGAAAGGTAAGTTCGGATAAGCCCTTGGTTATCTTCCCTGGGATATGGACTTCACTTGGCAATCTTATCCATTATTTCACAGCCTGGCTTGCGTCTAATCCTTGACTACGATTTAGGTATTCATACGCAACACTTAGAAGTTTGTAGAATTTGTACTGTTAAAACAGAAAGGGTTCTTACCCTTGCAAGAGGTGTTGAAATTTTGGGAGGTTGGATAGTTAGAATGGAATGGTCTCAGTGGTGGGGTGCACATTTTTATTCTTATTTATTTATGATTATTACTTTGTCAAAATAAAATACAGTGGTACCTCGGGTTAAGTACTTAATTCGTTCCGGAGGTCCGTTCTTAACCTGAAACTGTTCTTAACCTGAAGCACCATTTTAGCTAATGGGGCCTCCTGTTGCTGCCGCGCTGCCGGAGCACGATTTCTGTTCTCATCCTGAAGCAAAGTTCTTAACCCGAGGTACTATTTCTGGGTTAGCGGAGTCTGTAACCTGAAGCGTATGTAACCTGAAGCGTATGTAACCCGAGGTACCACTGTAATGGGGAGAAACAGAAAGAAGAGAAAAATATAAATATAAATAAATAAGGTTGACTTTTGGAAGGACAACTCTGTGCATGCAAACATGATGCCCAGCATACAGATGCCACTGAACTGACACACAAACCTAATTTTCCTGCTCTACCACAAACTGAGAAGCCTGTCTGTGTAGGGCCAAAGGTCATAAAGCTTTCGTCCATGGTGCCATTGTACTGTTACGTGATGTTTCCTGCTACTACAGTACAAAAATTCTTGGCTTATTTCTGTGGCAGTGAATGCAGAGAGGAGAACTTTTGAGAAGTTAAAATCTGCTTCCTTGCTGCAGCCTCTCTTTTCACACCTGTGCGTGCTGTTTTATTTCAGGACAGATGAGTTGATTCAGAAGACAATCCGTGAAAAGTTTGCCCAATGCACCGTGTTGACCATTGCCCACAGACTGAACACAATCATCGACAGTGACAGGATTATGGTGAGCAGTATGTTAAAAACCTAAGGCCTAAGGAGGAGGGACGGTCTGTGCTTTGGCACACTTTACTTTGGGAAAAGGAAGGATGCGGTCTTGCCAAATACCATTTTTCAGAAACTATGGCTGCGTACAAATGTAAAATTAACACCTGACTGTCAGAGGATAGGGTTAGTCTGCTTTCTTCTGCAGCTACAATATAAATGGCAGGCAGGCATGCTAGTGAAAGCAAAATGCAGTTTTTAGTCTTGCACTATATGCTTCAAGGCTGAGCGAGCGCCTTTTTTATTGTTTTAATCCTATGTGTATATATTCATTTAAGTATTGATCTTTTTTACCGTCCCCTCCCCTAATCCCTAAAAGCGCAATCAATTTTGGGAGGGGGGTAATCTCCCGCCCAAAAAATATAAATTTATAATGAAACCAAATACATTTCCATATACAGAGATTTCTCTGAATCTCATGACTCCCCCCCCCCAATCCCCTCAGTGGGTCCTAATGTCAACGTTTTCAACTGCATATTGTATCGTAATCTATATTTTATATCTACCCATATTATCCATTGTATTTGCTAGACTACAAGTGTTATAATAATCCTGATAATGTTTTCATCTGCTTACAGTGGTCTCCTAAATGAATTACAAATTTTTCCAATTCTTTCTTGAAGTTTTCTTCTTGGTTCCTGAGCTTTCCAGTCAGCTTTGCCATTTCGGCGTAATCCATCAGTTTAGTTTGCCGTTCCTCTCTGGTAGGGACTCTTTCTTCTTTCCATCCCTGGGCTAGCCCAGAGACGGGAAGCGCAATCAGTTGTAAAAAACAGTTGTAAAAGTGGGTTTGTTATGTCAGACGTCATCCAAATAGCACCATGAAGGGTTGGCCTTCTGCTGCAAAACTCTCTGTCTCCACCACCCCTCTGAGTTTGACCCTGCAGAATAAGATAGTTTGAACAGAGTGTGGGTCAACCATGAGTGGCCCCACTGCTCAAATTCAAGCTATCTAAATTATCTTCATTGGCAATACAGTCATACCTTGGAATAAATGTGCTTCAAGTTAAGTATTTTCAGGTTGCGCTCCGTGCGGACCCGGAAGTAACGGAGCGCGTTACTTCCGGGTTTCGCCGCATGTGCATGGGCAGACGGTCAAAAAGACGTCACGTGCATGCGCGGAAGCGGCGAAACGCAGACACACGGACGCGGGTTGCGTTCGCTTCAGGATGCGAACGGGGCTCCAGAACGGATCCCGTTCACATCCCGAGGTACCACTGTAGTAGCTCCTAATTTCAGGGTTCTTTCAGCTGCTCTGAAATCCCCACTACCTCAGGTAGCAGGACGTTGAGGATGTCCTTTGCAGAGCGATCCTTTCCCTTCGCTGCATGAGTAGCTTTTGAGGTGGGTGTGCCAGCAAATGTGAGGTCTCTGTTGAATATTGTATACTACTTTAAAAAAGCTTTTCCCAGCTGCAGTAACGTTTTGTTTTCCTCAAAAAGGCTTGAAGAGACTGGTTAGGAAATGGCAGTGACCTAATTTAATTTTAAAAATAAATAAATGTCCAGGTTTGGGCTCATAAAGTGCTATTAACCAGTAAGGTTAAGATTGCTGTTTGAGTAATGGTGTTTCCCCCCCACTTTCTGTTTCATTAAATATGGCATAGTCTTAATAACAGCTAATTGTTGGTTTTTGATTGACTCAGTTGCTGCAAAATAAAAAGGAAGACAAATTAGGCATCTCCTTTCTTCTCCAGCTGTTTGTTCTCTGATTACTAAAGACAGTTTCCCTTTGTGCTTGAGGAATTAGCTTGCCATTTCTGACGCTTCAACCATGGTTTACAGCCCAAAGCTTAAAAGCAGTGCTCCACCATCAACCCTGTTATTTAGATGGTGCCTGTGCTGGTGGAAGAACATTTTGAGGATCGTAGCCTAGTTTCTGTACAAAGTCATTATGCCCTTGTTATCCCATCAACCTTGTATTGTGTTCCCCAGCCCCTATTAGGAATTTTTTATTATACTATGGTTGTTGTTTATCTCAAGATCCTTATTTCTTTACGTTGCTTGGAAGTTCTTACTGTAGATTTGAGTGGCAGAGGAGAAGAGCCAGAATACAGTGGTACCTCGGGTTAAGTACTTAATTCATTCCAGAGGTCCGTTCTTAACTTGAAACTGTTCTTAACCTGAAGCACCACTTTAGCTAATGGGGCCTCCTGCTGCTGCCGTGCCACCGGAGCACAATTTCTGTTCTCATCCTGAAGCAAAGTTCTTAACCTGAAGCACTATTTCTGGGTTAGCGGAGTCTGTAACCTGAAGCGTATGTAACCTGAAGCGTATGTAACCCGAGGTACCATTGCACATTAGACAAAAGTTCACAAAACCATTTGCAATAGGCAAAAATCAGTCACTGCACATTGACTGTCGTTCTTCCAAGGTGAAGCTTTCATGTAAATGCAATCCTGTTAAATAATGCTATAGATGGGGACAATGTTAACATTTCATGACTCCTCGGGATATTGTTGCATGTGAATTTGAAAGGTACATTCACACAAAGCTCTCCGTAAAACAATTTTTCGTTTTACTCTAAATGTTACTGTAATCTAATCTTGCGTGATACAAATAACATCTATGTTGACCTGTTAACATAGCTCTTTGCTTTTGAGAGCTGTGTGCATGCATATATATATATATATATATATATATGCACACACAGCCCTCAGAAGGGCTTATACCTTCTGGGGTGTGTGTGTGTGTGTGTGTGTGTGTGTGTGTGTGTGTAATTAATGCTTTATGCTGTCACATCGTCCATCCACACTATGACATCTATGGCTGTCAGGTGTGGGACAAGGGGGTTGGCAAAGGGCTTGGGTTTGGCAAGCACATCTCTTGCCAAACATACCTTTTTCCAGCAGAACTATGGTTTCACACCTAGCAACGTTCCACTGTCATTATAATTCATTTTATACATAAATGTACGGACACAGTCAATATTATAATATTAGAAAAGGTCCCTATATAAAGTCTTCTTTTTAAAAGGAAAGAAATTGTATATGATCTTCTACATTTAAAAAAACCCCAAACGCGAGAAAATAAAGCCTGGGAAGACTACAGATATAATAAAGTGTTCTTCAAGAAAAACAGGGTCGCATTAAATTGACGAGAAGAAACAGAAGTTCTTTACGTGCACCTTTTAGTTAAATAGGTGCAGTTGTTAAAAAAAATTCCCCTTAGTCTGAGAGGGGCAAAAGAGAAACCCTTTGAAAAGGCCATCAGCAAATGGCATAAAGTTGATTATAGTATGTTAGTGTGGTGATTAAAGCTTGAATCAGGGTGACAACTCACCTTCATTTTTCATCAGGTTTTATTTTACCTAATGAGAGGAGCCTCCTCAGAGAACAAAAGGAAGAAAAGAATGTGCTTTACACAACTGCAGACAGAATTGGCCTTAGGAGCTGTTTAATTCTAGCTTATTCTCTTCTCCAAAGTCATACTTCTGGTTTCGCAATCCCAGCGACGCCCTGAGGAGAGTATCTCCACAATATCTTTCTTTTAATTATAAATATGCTTATCAAACTTCAAACAGCTCAGAATCATTGAGAGAATCTCTATTGTGTAAGGTGATACTGTCCTAAGACAATCATACCAATGAGTAATAGCTTTTTTTTGCTCTTATACAGTACCTTTCATCTGGGAATCTTAGAGCTTGTTGTAAATCTTAAGTAATTAAGCTGCACAACACCCCTGTCAGGTAGGGAAATAATTGTAGACCTAGCACAGGGGTCAGCAAACATTTTCAGTAGGGGGCCGGTCCACTGTCCCTCAGACCTTGTGGGGGGCCGGACTATATTTTGAAAAAAATATATGCCCCACAAATAACCCAGAGATGCATTTTAAATAAAAGCACACATTCTACTCATGTAAAAACAACAGGCAGGCCCCACAAATAACCCAGAGATGCATTTTAAATAAAAGGACATATTCTACTCATGTAAAAACACACTGATTCCCGGACCATCTGCGGGCCGGATTTAGAAGGCGACTGGGCCAGATCCGGCCCCCGGGCCTTAGGTTGCCTACCCATGACCTAGCAGATCCACAGTTAGAAGAGACCTGGTAGTTCTGACCGTCAAGGTATCCCACTGTAACAATGAAATTTTTTCTAATATTCTCTAATATGCTAGTTTAATGCCATAGTTTAGATTACCTGGTAACAAAAGTTAAAGATAATTATATGTATATATGGCATATACATATATATACACACGCACAATATGTGAGATTACTAGTTATGGGAAAACATAAATCAGCCTCTGTAGGCTTTGAGCTTGACCTAGAAATGCTGTGGCAATTTCCGAAGGAGGCACTGTCAAGATTTCAGCTGAGCTGGGAAATGTATTAGGATTGATCATTTGCCTTGCCAAGTCAAAGCCACACCTCACAGACAAATTGGCACCACTAAAAGATCTCCCGAAAGAGTCAGGCTCAGAGTTTCAGTGGGACGCCCGGAATGAGTCTGTCTTCACCAGAACAAGGCACCTAATTGGTAATGCTCACGCCTTCTCCTCGTTGTTGGAAATTTAATGTGTGAGATTGCCAGCCAAGTTTTTAATTGATTTAGTCAATAGACGCAAAGGAGGACCACTGATCTGCACCGGTGTATGCCCCCAGTACTTTTAAAGCACATTTGAAACACATTTCCCCTCCCCTCAAATAATTCTGGGCACTGTAGTTTGGTTGTTGTTGTTGTTGTTGTTGTTGATGATGATGATGATGAATACCCCACTGGGTTGCTGGGAATCATAACTCTGTGAGGGGTAAACTACAGTACCCAGAATTTTTTGAGAGGACAATGTGTTTCAATTGTGCTTTAAAGTGCATGTGTACACCTGACAGGAGTGAGCCATCAAGAGACCGCACTGAGCTTTATTGGCAAATCCAGGATCTTCGCAGAGTGTCAGGCCGAACAAGCACAGCAAACCATCTCCAGCAGGTCTTGCCCCCATGAAGCCGTTGCAGAGACTGAAGGTCCCCATCTCTCCACAGTTGCCTAAGTCTCCTCCTCTCCAAGGTTTCCCCCAAGCAATCTGAGACTGCACCTGCGTGAAGCTAACTTATCCTTTGCTCTCTTCATGCTGCTCCTGTTTCTGGGAGATGAGTGAGGAGGGGAGCTTGTAGCAGCAGGATGGGGAGACACCCATGCCTCTTCAACAGCCACATTCATTTCTGCCTCTTGGCTTCTCTCCTCTCCTGCTTCAGCTTCTGCCATTGAGTCTGGACTTCTCTCTGCCAAGTAAAGCTCTGTTACTTCTTCTGCTTCTGACATCTCTCCTCCCAGTCTGCACCCTCTTCTCCCCATCATTGTCCCACCACCAACCCCCGGGCTCTGAGCCTTCTTCCCTTGGGCATTCTCCAGCTGGTGCCTTTCCACCAGTCTTCTGCATCCAACCTCAGGTGGGTTATTGCTCCCCCAGCTGGAGCCACAATAGCTGCAGACCAGTTTTTGTGGAGACATTTGTGGTATGTGACATTGGAAAAATAGAGAAAAGGCAAAAGATGGAGGGATAGCCTGCACATAGAAACCTGTGAAAACAAATTGTTGTGTAATGGAGAAGGCTTGGTACTTTTATTAAAGGCAAACCAGTAAATGACAGATAGCAATATAAGTTATCTGATAAAAGTTAATTGAGTAGGGAAAATATTAGCTTGATTGAGCCAATGTCCTATAAACCTTATTCTTTATTTCCATAGCAAAAACTTTTGAAGTCTCTTGCTGAAAAAACAACAAACAGTGTTGCGGCATCTTAAAGGCTAGATTTATTATGAGTTTTGGGGACTGTAGTCCACTTCATCAGGGAGCCTAAGTTGTCAAGTATATTTACGTGGTTGGTTGGATGTTTTTTTTGGTGGGGTGCTGGTGCAGAGCTAAACAAAATGTAGAAAAGTAAAGCCAGGCATAACTATGTATGTAATAGAGGTAATTCACAAGAACAGTTGTAGGCAACACAGACATTGTGGCATTGGTAAGCCAATTAATACATGTAACGTGCTAGAAATCCTGTCACGGGTAAGTCTAGAAGTGCTAGCATTGACCCACTTGATGTATTGTCATTCTGTCATTTCACATCGCAGTTACTTATGTATTTCACATTGCCAGTCGAGCCTCTGCAACATGGGGAGCAACTTATCTCTCCTTTCAGTTAAAAACATCCTACAAAATATTACACGTGCCTCACTAAATCTTCTGTTATATTGATTTCATACTGAGTAGACTACCCTGCCATCTGCAATTTGAGCCGTTTGCAACATCTCTGTTTGGCTTGGGTTGAGCTTCAGTTTCTGTGTTTTCTCATTCGCTCAAGATTTTTGCCTCTACTCGGGAGTTTAATGAAAACATTTTAAAAATAGCTCTAAATATTGTCATGACACCACACTCCAGTATTTTACACCGTCCCTCTCCCTTGCCATCAAATGGACACAACATTGAATCATGCAGTATCTCAAAGTTCAAAGCCTATCACTGTCTGGCACTGATGTAGGCAGGACTCAGAAGAATCTTTATTTGCATCAGCCACTAGCCATAGCAATAAAATAAAATGTACTGAAGATAGAGGTAAAAACTTAACTACAGTATGTAGTTTCTGCTGTCACCTGATCATCTTGATCTGCTAGAAGGAAGGACACAGTATCAATGGTTGATCGACCTGGTATTGATAGCTGTAGAGGACCTCACTCCTCAAATCTTTATAAAGAGTGCAAGCTAGAAGCACATGAGGTACTGATTCAATACTGCCATCTCCACATGGACGTAACCGTTTTCCCAGCGGGATGTTTTGAAATTGACCCTCAAGTACAGCTGAAGGCAGTATATTTAATCTTGCGTAAGTGAAAGCGCTTCTGTATTTTGGAATTATTAAATTTTGCAACTTGTTGAAATGACTAGGTGGAAAATAATCATGGGCAAAATTTCCTTATCGTGGCCAAATCAGATTAGATGTAGACAGGAGTGGAACTGCTATGGAACGACTCCCAGCCTCAACTTTATCTTACGATCTGGAAAAACTTGATAGTCAATTTTCTTCCCTAACTGTTAAAATGTCTAGAAGTAAAAGTGAGCTCATATTCCCCTTGTCTAATTGTGGTCCAGTGATGTGGGTTTTCTAGAAAATTTTGAACTGGGTAGTTTGCATAAGACAATTTGCTTTGGAAAACTTTCAGTTGACATTAGGAGACTTTCTGATGTTTATTTTGCTTGTATTTAGTAAAGAAAACAAAAACACAACAACCCTTAGAAACTGCCAGGCTCGCTTAATATTCAACTTGTGGTCAACATTCATTCATTGTTACCAATGTGCTTACTTACAAAACAGAAATATTTCCACCCAAAAATAAACAACTGGAATGTAGGATGCACATCATAGATCTTTTTCCAGGGCTGCTAAAACGGTCTCTGACAAAATGTCACCTGAGTTCTAACTGGCGTAGGTTTAGATAATCACCATCTTCTAAGTAGAGTTCCTGGAACTATTTACATAGATGATCTGATCTTCTGTCTCACCTCATCAAGACAATGCGTTGTCCGCTTCTGAAACTAGTTTACAAAACCAGTAGAGTAGGCAGGTTTTCAGATTAGAATGTTAACATTCCACATTGTTTGTGCAAAAGCATGTGAAAAAAGCTGCAGTATTATTCATTTGTTGAGGCCAATACTACTTTTGAGAAACATAAACAGCTGACTTATATGCAGTCAAACCAGTGACCCACCTTGCTTGGTATTTTCAACAGCGACTTTCCAGAGTTTAAGACAGGAGTCTTTCTTATATAGAGGAATTGAACATGGAACCTTCTGACTGCAAAGCACGTTGGTCACCACTAAGCCATGGTCTCTCCCTTGTCCCTCATGTTTCCCCTGTCCCGCCCCCCATTTGCTCTACAAAATTTTGAAAATTCGATTTTACAGTTGCGCCATCTGTAATCCAGAGATTCAAGTATCTGTTATCTGCAAAAAGGGAAATCTACGTATATCAAATATCACTGTTGGAGTCATCCACCCAAGTTTTCCCAGTCTTTTTTTATATATATAATTTTTATTAAATTTTCTATTTTACAATTTAGAAAACTCATTTAAGCATCCTTAAAATATCAATGACTTCCCTTCCTCGCTTTCCATGGTTCATTTTGCATATCATAAATCCCTGCATATTTTACATAAACTAAGCCATTCAGTATTCCATTATTACATCCATCAAAACTTATTTACACTATAGAATTTATCTTAATGCTACCAACATTTTTAGGTGTACACAATTTCCCCCCATATATTCAATAAATATTTTCCAGTCTTCTCTAAACATATGTTCTTCTTGTTCTCTTGTGCATATTCTTATAAGTTTAAGCTGCCATTCTTCTTTAGTTGGGACCTCGCTCGTTTTCCATTTTTCGGCTAATGAAACAAGGACACAGTAGTGGCATACATAAATAACCTTTTTTGACACCTGGGAATTTCTGTCTGAATTGTCCCCAACAAAAAGGACTCTGTTGTTGTTGTTTTGTTGAAGTACTTTCAAACATTTTTTTCAATTCATTATGAATTATTTCCCAATACTCCTTTACCTTTTTACAGGTCCAGGGTTTCCCAGTCTTATCGCCGCTCCACTGATTGATGAACAGTAGGCCTACTGGATGCCCTTTCTGATGGTTCTTAAAACCTGTAATTGTGCCAGGAACACACAACTCCTTTCCAGGAGATGGGGAGTGGGAGGAAGTCACCTGGTAAACTGGGATGGTCAGACTTTGCCCACTGGGGAACGGCCATAGCTCAGTTGTGGAGCATCTGATTTGCATGCAGAAGGTCCCTTGTTCAATCCATGACGTCTTCAGATAGGGCCGGGAGGTTCCCCTGCCAGAAACCCTGGAGAACTTCTGCCAGTCAGTTCAGACAGTAGTGAGCTTGATGGACCAGTGGTCATGACAGGTTCCTACATTCCACTGTTGCTGATAAGTTGGCTGCTTGGTTCATTTTAATTTGGGGAAGGCAGGATTGCTTGTCCCACTATTCCACTGTCCCTCTATCAAAGTGTATATGCTCAGGAGTGGATACTTATTGTACTTTTTCTGCTACCACTTTTTTATTTATTTATACTTTTCCAGTTTATACATTTCACTAATTTTATACATTTCACTAATTTTACAATCATTTTGACATTTCAAAACTTGACTTCCTTCCCCCTCTTTTTGCAGTTCCTTAAATTTGTTTCTAATACCTTCTTGCATATCCAAATTAACTTAATTTTTTCATCACCTTAAAAATATACTCTTATAAAACTGCAGGTTGTTACAATAATCCTGCCAATGTTTTTATCCGTTTATAATTTATCTGTAAATATTTAATAAACCATTTCCATTCTTTTATAAAAGATTTGTTATCTTGATTCCTTATTCTTCTGGTAAGTTTCGCCATTTCTGCATAATCCGTAAATTTTCGTATCCATTCTTCTTTTGCTGGGACTTCTGCTTCTTTCCACTTTGGGGCAAGTAACATTCTTGCTGCTGTAGTCACATATATGAATAAGTTTCTACACAGTTTAGGTAGTTCTGTCCCTATAATTCCCAAAAGAAAAGCTTATGGATTATTATTTTTTACAAAAATTATTTTAAACATTCAACTGTTGCTGATAAGTTGGCTGCTTGGTTCATTTTAATTTGGGGAAGGCAGGATTGCTTGTCCTGGGCACTGTCACACTATCTTAAGTGTATACGATCAGGAGTGGATACCTATTGTTCTAATATTCCAGCTGCACATCTTCCTGGAGACCACAGACCTCATTGCAGAATGATGACATTATTGCATTCAAGGCAGGGATTCCCGTGGAATAAACAGTTTGGAAGCTACAGATATTGCAGTTAAATTACTACTGAGAGAAGACCAGAGGGCTGGTTTTACTTTGATTTTGGACCAGTTGCATTGGCCATCTGTCTGATTTCCAGACTCTGTTTTAGGTGCTACATTAGTCACTCTCTATAAAGTGATAAAACAGCCAGGGCAATGGCTTTTCTGATCATCCATCTATTCCATCAGGTGCCACTCAGAGTCTATGCCCAAGTAAGCCTCTGATTCAATCAAAGGTGTCTTTGTGGAAGTGCCACAATTTGGGATTACATTTCCCAAAGACACCCACTAGGTAGCATTTCTTTCCAGTTTTAGAAGCCAAGTAAAACCCTATCTTTTCTACCAGGCTTTTGGAATACACTAGTGGAATAATTTGACCCCTGCTGTATGTCTTAGTTTTGTGACCCCATTAAGCAATAGGTGCAGTCCCATTGCTGCTGAAATAAAAGTTTCTCATTTTATTGTGGACTTTGGAGTTTCACTACATTGTTAAGTCCTGTATACATGATTCATTAACAGGTAGTGTGAGATACACGCCTTAGATGTGCTTTACATTCCTTAAATACTGTTAACTTCTGAGTTTTCAGCTCAAGGGATATTTGCTCTGATACCATCTAGTGGCTAGAAGGAAATAATGTGTGCGGTGAATCTATGTTTGGCTTTGTAGGTCATCTTGCAAGCGCTTTCCCCCCGTACAAACTACATTAATCTTTCCCCAACACTTTACCAGGTAAACAAAATATCCAGGTGTGTAACAGCTTTAGGCATGATTGTGGCTTATTATGATTTGTGTTCTCCTTGGCAATTCTTACTGCTAAACAGCATGTGGGGAGTTTAGTTATGCAAATTTAGTTGAGTGGTGGAATTTTGGAATAGCATAGAGTTATTCTTCAAGGCAGTAGTTTTTAAACGTTCTACCTTCAGGGAACCCTTTACATACCGACGTTCCTATTGAGCATTGTAAAAAAAAGTAGGGTTAGTATGTACTTTAGTAAAAGTGTTAGCATTAGATCCGGCTTGTGTCCTGCACATGATTTAGATTACAACTCTGATCAGCTCCAGTGTGTGTGTGTAATTTTTGTTTAATTTTCTGTTTTACAATTTAGAATACTCATTTAAACATCCCTAAAATATCAATGACTTCCCTTCTTCTCTTTCCATGGCTCGTTTTGCATACCATAAATCCCTGCATATTTTACATAAACTAAACCATTCAGTATTCCATTATTACATTCATCAAAACCATCCATCCAACCGTTTTAAGGACTCCATTCCAGATTTGCATGGGGTTTCCTCCTTAGCTTTCACTTCTCTCAGAGATGTCCTGCAAGGTAGCAGGTACGGATTTTCCCTAAGAGTTTACTCGTGAAAACTTTCTGACAGGTGAATATAGCTGCAAGGCACTGGAGTTTTCCTTCTCCTAGATGAGTCCCATCTGCCTCCCATTTCCCTCTACAACACTTGCAGTAACCACCAACTCGACCATTTGACCCACCATTGGTCTCATCTGCTCAATCCACCAGAGTCTGTCTTTGCACGCAGGGGAAGTCCCTAACTCACCAAGGGTTTGAGACCCATCAGCTACCCTCACCTGGTTTAGCCAGCCAGTCAAAGCTATTTCCCAGGGCATGGCAACTGTCACATGCTGACAGCTTCTAGGAGCCACAGGTGAGAGCTCATAAAAACAAAGGTGGACAGACTACCCCAGAAGGAGCACAACATGTTATCCACCAGAGGTACTACCCTTCCCAACATCCCATGCACCCCTTGGAGAGGTCACTTTGGTGCTGCTAATGCAACAAAAACAACACAGGAGAGAGCAGTTACATATGAGTTACTGATCTCTGCAGCCATAGCAGGCGCTGTGATTCTCTAGCGCAGCCTTTCTCAACCTTGGGTCCCCAGATGTTGTTGAACTACAACTCCCATCACCCCTAGCTAGCAAGGCCAGAGCTCAGGGATGATGGGAGTTGTAGTCCAAGAACATCTCGGGACCCACAGGTTGAGAACCGCTGCTCTAGCAGTTTGGCTTCATCCCCTGAGGTGCACGCCATTGTATCTTGAGACGGATAGATGCCAACAACAAGCTCTGAGTAAAACCCAATATCATGACTTTCAAAATGAAGAAAACCCAGTTGAGATAGCTCAGTTGGTTAGAGCGTGGTGCTGAAATGCCAAGGTTGCAGGTTTAATCCCCATATGAGACAGCTGTATATTCCTGCATTGCAGGGTATTGGACTAGATCAGGGATTGTCAACCTGGTCCCTACTGCCCACCAGTGAGCGTTTCAGGATTCTAGGTGGGTGGTAGGGGGTTCTACGGCACAAGCTGAATCTTCCTTCCATCGAGCGCTGGTGGGCGGTAAGGAAATTTTACCATCAAGAAAGATGCATTAGTGGGCGGTAGGTATAAAAAGATTGACTACCCCTGGACTAGATGATTGTTAGGGTCCCTTCCAATTCTACAATTCTATGATATCACCAATGTTAATAAAACATTATTGGAGAATTTGATTTTTGATTTTTATGTGTGGTTGTTTGTTTTTTGTTTCTGCTTAATTAAAGAATTGGTTGCATTCTGGAATTCTTTGGATTTTTAAATGGCTAGGAGGAGTCGTGCAACCAGGAAAATATAAAAGGGGGCAGTAGCAGGAGGCTAGGACAGCATCCTGAGAGCTGGTTAAACATTCAGAACTCATCTGTTCAGGTTTGGAGCATACCTGAAGCCATGTGAACAGCGCAATCGATACCTCTGTAGGAATAGTGGGAGCGAAGAAAAGGTCACACCAATTAATTTATATGAAATCTGGTACTCAAATCATGTTCTCCTGAGCTCAGGTTCTATCCTGGAATATTACTGCCTCCCTCTCCTTTTGGGTTATTCCTGTCTTGTCTTGCAGTGACTCTGAGTCTGTCTGGGTTATGAAGACGAATGTAGCAGTTGCATTCTGTGGCACTGTCTGGAGTAAAAAATTAAGTTGTCATGTTCCGTAGGAAGAGCTCTCTCCTCAATCTGGCTGTAATTTTGATGACAACACTAAAGTACACATAGTTCAGGGTTGGATTCTGCCGCTCTTTTCACTCCCCCCCCCCACACCTTTGTTCCTCTGGGTTCATCTCCTAGAGTTCTCAGCCTGAGCAGGAATGTCAGAAACTTGGCCAAAGTATTAGGTTTTGATTATAATTTATATATGCGTTCGTTGGAATAGAAGCGCCTATCCCTTGCCCTAGGCCCTACTTTGACATCTGCGACTTGACATCAGGTGCTATTCTGAAATATAACATAATCGCACAAGAGGCTGCTCTTTTTGGCTTCCCCACACCCCCTTCCCTTTAACCATTTCATTCCACAAAACTGGCAGCCCAGTGGCTGGAACATTTGCAGTCTTCGTGAAATCACACCTGATCTTTTCACCACTGCTTTTCCCTGCTGCTGCAGACGATCAATTGAAACATGGTTGGGAAATTAATTAAATTCCAAGTAAGCTGGGGACTCTGAAATGGGGTGGGGATCAAGCAGGTCGCAGGCCCCTTAGATAAAACAACAACCCTGGCAGCTGCCTGGTCCCTTGTCTCATTTCGGTGCATCTGTGTGCACGCCTACTGCCAGATTTTGTATCCTCCGTTTTTTGTGGGGTGCCTGCATAAACATGGGAGCTGCCGCAGAATTAAGCACCTTATGTGTCTGATCTTTTGGTTATATTTGAAAGCAAATTTCTAACCCAAGTAGCCAGGGAGAAAGCCAAAGGACATGTGGGTGGTGCCATGGGAAATTCAAGAGGGGGCTGAGCAGGATTATTTATCTTTGCAGCTCCATCCCAGCCCTCCAGTGCTGCTCATTCTGAACCTGCATAACTTGTGATCTGTCAAGCCAAATCAAGCCCACCAGGGAACAAGCCCGCTTGAGTGGGTCTGTGAAATTGAGGGAGGGGGTTGCCAAACATTTGGAGTGGAGAATGAGAAATTGGCAGATCACATTTTCTGAAAAACC